GATGTCTGGGGCAGAGCTGTGCATACCTAGGGCCTCAGTGATTGAGTATGTGAAAGCTTATGGCCTGGGAAGCCAGCATGAGCCTTTCCTGGTTAGGGAGCCCATGGTGAGGAGATGCCATAGAATTTCTACCTTTCTGGCCTTGGGATATAGCTCAGTACAAGAGTGTTTGCTTAGCGTGGGCAGAACACTGAGCTTGATACCCATCATACACAGACACACAGACAGACACACAGTGTTCCACATTTCGGATCGTATGCTTGTTGAAATGTGTATATGGGGGAAATAGGCTCCTAGCTTTGTCTCTGACCTGCTGGTCTTGACAGATGACAGGGATTGCAGGGTACATAAAGTTAGAGTCAGCTTTCCTGGCTTGGAGGAGAAAACACCATAATTATCAATTAACAAAAGTCATTCATAGGTACCTTATGATTTTGTTTGTTTGATTTTTTTTTTTGAGACTATAGCCCAGATTACTCTTAAATTCTCTTTTTTTGGGGTGGGTGGGGGCGTGGGTGTTGAGACATGACCTCTCTATGTAATCCTGGAAACCAGACTGGCCTCAAACTCAGAGACTGATTGCCTCTGCCTCCCCAGTGTTGGGATTAAGTTGGCTCAGCCTAAACTTTTTTTTTGAAGATTTATTATGTATACAGTATTCTCTCTGCATGTATGTCCACAGGCCAGAAGGGGGCGCCAGATCTCATTACAGATGGTTGTGAGCCATCATGTGGTTGCTGGGAATTGAACTCAGGACCTCTGGAAGAATAGTCAGTGCTCTTAACCTCTGAGCCATCTCTCCAGCCCCTAAACTTTTTAAAAAAGATTATTTATTATGTATAAGATGTTCTGTCTGCATGTATGCTTGCAGGCCAGAAGAGGGCACCAGATCTCACTACAGGTGGTTGTGAGCCACCAGGTGGTTGCTGGGAATTGCATTCAGGATCTTTGCAAGATCAGCCTGTGCTCTCTCCTGCTCGCTCTCTTAGATAATTTATTTTTATGTAATTAGTGTTTCTCCTGCATATATGACTGGGTGAGGGTGTTGGGTCCCCTGGAACTGCCTTGTGGTGCTGGGAATTGAACCCAGGTCTTGGAAGAGCAGCAGTTTTTGGTTTCTCTGTATAGCTTTGTAGCCTGTCCTGGCACTCTCTCTGTAGACTAGGCTGGCCTCGAACTCAGAGAGATCCAGCTGCCTCTGCCTCCCGAGTGCTGGGATTAAAGGCGTCACCAGCGCCCGGCCACAGTCAGTACTCTTAACCACTGAGCCATCTTGCCAGTTCCCAGTCTACACTCTTGATCTTTCTCCCCAGTTAGAGGCTTGTGATACCAGGTCTGTGCAGATATTATTTTAAATTTGAAATGTATCTAAAGTTACATAATCCTCCTTCAGAGAAGAAAAGTAGTTTCTAAATCATATTGTGACATATACTACCGTGTAGATTTTTTTTTGTTTTAGGTATATAAACGTCTTGCCTGCGTGTATGTGTATACACCATGTGCATGTCTGGTACCTGTGGAGTTCAGAAGAGGGTGTTGAATCCCTTGGGACTTGAGTTATAGACTGTTGTGCTTCCACATGGGTTCTGGGAATGGAACCCACGTCTCTGAAGAGCAGCCAGTGCTCTTAACTGCTGAGCCGTCTCTCCAACCTCTTACATAGTTTTCTGAAGGACACAATAATAAGTTTGTACCAGTTCAACTTGTTTTGCACATTTTCAGTGTCTTTTTTCAGACGGTGTCTTCCCGTGCTCCGGGTGGCCTAGAACTGCCTGTGCCCTGGCCTCAGTTTTCAGAGTGCCGGGTTACGTGTGCGTTGCCACCATGCCTGGCTTGAAATGTTTTCACGTGATAGTTGTGAAATACCTATTTGGTGTTCTTCCCTCTTGGCAGTAAGCCCTGAAATGTGTGGAGCCTCTGAACTAGTAAATGCATTTTTGTATATAATGAGGTCACTGATGGCTGTCAGCCCCTGAAGAGCTTCAGGCTGGGTGCTGGTCACCTGAACAAACTTAGGTGACATTTGAGGATTGGGACTTGCAGCTCCACTCAGGACAGAGGGGGGTTGAGTGAATGAATGGTCATCAGTGGCTGGGGCTTCATGTCCTCCCTGAGTAATGCGGGGCATGGTTCAGAGAGCTTCTGGGGCTTTCTAGAAGGTGGCATGCCTGGAGAGCACTGGCTGCTCCTCACCCCTTCCCAAGTGCTTCGTTCTGTGCATCTCTACACGTGTGTCCTTTGTGATAGTCCTTTACAATTAGCTAGTCACTGTGAGTAAATAATTCCCCACGTCCTGGGAGGGACGCCAGAGCATTGCTGAACTCAGGGAAGGGTTGGAGGTGTGATGGCACAGCCTACAGCGTCAGCACTTAGGAGGTGAAGGAGGAGGGTGTGCGTTCAAGACCAGATACATAAAGAACCTGGAGTTTCCATAGAAGAGGACAAGTCTCTTGGGGCAGAGATATCAAACTGATAATTATCCATAGGATAGATAGGGCCACCTCTTCAGCCCCAGTTAAAGACCATCTTCGTTTATAAATGAAAGCCTGATTTTATGTGAGCAGGCATTTCAGAACTTTAAGAGCCAACTTTCCCAGATGTGGTAGAGCGTATCTGTGACCCTGCACTCAGGAGACTAAGGCAGGAGAATCCTAGCTCAAGGTCAGCCTAGGCTACACATGCGACTGCTCCCCCAGAAACCTGCAAACTGTCATTGCTGATATTACAGTTGGATGTTTGTAGACACAGCTCTTCCCAAGATGTGTGATGGCCTCGTGTGTCCCCCAGGCTGGCCTTGAACTCATGATCCTACAGCTGTGCTTCACAGGTGGTGATATGTCAGGCTTGTGCTGTCATGACCAATTCCTCTTTTGAAGATCTGTGTGACAGATTTGTGTTGTGATGTTTGGTTTGCAGTGTTTCTGTGGTAAAGTTACTTTGTAAGTTCCAACACTTTACTTAGGAAATCAGAGTGATGACTAGGTCTGTCTGAAGCAGGACCAAGGAATACTTGTGTCTTTTTTTGTTGCTGTTACTAAATAGGCATTTTTTGTGTTAAAGTGAGTATGTGGTGATTGGCATCTATCTCATTTACTGTTCTTCTGTTGATGTAGTAATGGCTTAAAACAAAACAAAACAAAACAAAACAGCGGGATGGTGGTGGTGCACACCTTTAATCCCAGCACTTGCAAGGCAGAGGCAGATGGATCTCTGTGAGTTCAAAGCCAGCCTGGTCTATAGAGCAAGTTCCAGGACAGGCTCCAAAGCTACACACAGAAACCCTATCTTGAAGAACCAAAAAACAAACAAAACAAAAAAAGAAAAAAGAAATAAAGAAGCTCAAATAAACAAAAAAAGCCAAGCTTTTATTTTTCTTCCACCTTAAAAAACACAAAACTAAAACACAATGGACCCTTTAAGTTTTAAAGTCTTTTATTCATATGTAAGTATGTATGGATGTGTGTGTGCCTGTGTTTGTTTATGTGCACCATGTGAATGCAGGTGCCCTTGGAAGCCAGATGGTATCAGAGTCCCTCAAACTGGAGTTACAGGTAGTTAGTTGTGAGCTGCCTGATTTGCGTGCTGGGGACCAAACCTGAATCCTCTGTGAGATCAGTCATTCTTAACCACTCATCTATTTCTCTAACCCCCAATTTAAACAAAATTAAGTCTATCCCTCAAAGTGACCATTTAACACATTTGGCTTTTTTTTTTAAAACCTCTGTTGTTTTAGAGTAAATTTCAACTATGTTGACTTCGTGGTTAGAGCAGTTTTTCTTCTTCTTAAATGAAATGATCAGTTGTTTGTAGATTACCAGATATAAAATGCATTAGAACCACTAATGATAACCTGCTTTGGTCTTGTGGAGAAGTGCCATGTTTTGTGGTAAAGTCTTACAGAGCAACAACTATCAGGTCAGAGGCAGTCCCCATCCCTGTGTGTCGTGCCCCCCCCCTTGCCGTAGACCAATAGCGGCTTGAGAGCAGGAGCTGCGTGTCTTTTGTTCTTGTCTGCGTAGCTGGGCAGATTCTATAGATGGTGTAGATTCATCTGTCTAGTTGACATGGTGGAGATGGAACCCGAGGCCTCGCGTGTTCTGGGCAAGTGCTTTCTCACCAAGCTATCGCCGCTAACACTGCTATTGCTGCTACTGCTGCTACTACTGCTGCTTTTTAAATTACGACCACTACTTTTAAAAGATTTATTTTATTTTTACGTGTGTGTGCGCACTTGCGTGCATGTACACGTGTATGCCACCTGTGTGTGGGTGCTTTCTGAGGCCAGAGAGAGGTGTGGAACCCCTGGAATTCTAGGAGCTGTGAGGCTACCCGACGTGGATGCTAGGAACAGAGCTCTGGTCTTCCAGAGAGCATCATGTACTATTAATTGCTGAGCTCTCTCTCTAGCCCTTCTGTCTTTTCTTTTCATATAGATTTGTTTATTTGTTATGTGTGTGCATGCAGGCCAGAAGAGGGCACCAGATCTCATTACAGATGGTTGTGAGCCACCATGTGGTTGCTGGGAACTGAACTCAGGTCCTTTGGAAGAGCAGTCAATGCCCTTAGCCTGTGAGCCATCTCTCTAGTCCCCTTCTGTCATTTCTAACTAGGAAAGAAAAAAAAACAACTTAATCTCGGCCTTCCTGGACTCTTTTGTGGACTGACTGTGTGCTGCTAGGAATCACGTCTCAGCACCCCTGTGATAGCTGGCCTCCAGTTTGTCCTGTTTTCTAAGACAACCTCTCTCTCTCCCGCAGAAAACAGTAAGCGCTTGCCGGGCAGGGAGAGTCATTTCCTTTCCTCTGGCCTTGGCTCTCCCTGCCCGCCCTGTAGTGATTTGTGTTCAGGAAGCTGGGCCATGATTACTTTTGTTTCTACTTTGTGAACTTCCTCCCCCACTTCCTGTTTTTACTGGCCTTGCACAGGAAATGGGGCGGCTCTGGACTGCCTGCTGCTGAGCACTGATTTGAGGTGGCAGAGGTTGAGGCATTAGGCTCCGAGGCATTCTGTCCTTTCCTCCTTTGGGCCTCCTTCCTCTCCTCAGGGAGTCCCGGGGACATTGTGATAGGGTGGGAATGATGTCATGTCCTCCTTAGGCCAGGGGCTGGGCAAGATAGCTGCTGAGTCTTCTGAGGAGGGCCTCTCTTCAGCCCCAGCAGCACAGGTGGTATCCAGGGCTTGGAGCAGCCAGAGTGGGTTGAAGGACGGGTCTGCTTCAGGTAAGAATGGGACCGGGCTAGGGCAGGTGCCACAGAGTACCAAAGGCGCACCGTGAAGTCCCGAGTTAGGTCCTTGGCGCCTGTGGGAAGAAGCGTGGGGCAGGGGGATGGCCAGCAGTCTACTGAGTTAGCGCATGCAGCGGCTGGGGCCCCGAGAGACTGTCAGAGAGGGAAGACGGAGGTGGATCTCTGTGAGTTCGAGGCCAGCCAGGTCTAAAAGAGCTAGTTCCAGGACAGCCTCCAAAGCTGCAGAGAAACCCTGTCTCAGCCCTCCCCAAAAGAAACTTGAAAGTGCTCAGAGCCTCTGTTGATGGGGGGTCTCTGAGTAGTAGCTCTGTTGGCATGTTGGGTGGAAGACCCCTGCTCTGTAGGCTGCTGTGTATCTTAGAGGATGTTTTGCAGGACCTATGGCTTCTACCCTCTAGATCCAACTAGCATTTCCCCAGCTGTGACAACCACATGGATGTTAGGGGCCAGGAAAGCAAAATCACTTTTCTACTGCCTGATAGTCAGGCCCCCAATTGAGCCACAGTGAGAACCACTGTGTTAAAGGATTCAGTACTGAGTTACAGATTTTATAAGGTGGAATAAAGTAGAATGTTTGGACCTGTGACCTCATACTCTTTTTTTTTTTTTTTCAGGCTGGCTTCAAACTCAAAAGAGATCCACCTGCCTCCTTCCTCTTCCAGACTAGTGGCATTAAGGCATGCGCCATTACGCTTGGCATTCTTGTATGTTAAGCTCGGCCTATCAGCCAGCATTCAGGTACCCTTCCCTGTGCTTTTCATGCGGAGTGGAGCCTGAGCACGAGCTTCTGATGCTCACAGGAGGCTGCCTATCAGGATGTGCCTTGGGCTGGGACACGGCTCAGAGATAGCGTGTGCAGCCCTCCCTCCTCTCTCACCTTCCTCTTTCCCTCCCTCCCTTCTAGACTCCTCGGTCTTGCCAGATAGCCCAGGTTGCCATCGAAATCACCATCCTGCTGCTGCAATCTCCCAAGTGATTGTTAATATCTTCTGCATGCATGTGTGTATATGAAGGATGGCCATGAGAATGTATTGGCCACGGGCATGTGCAGGTGCCATGAACATGGTGTGTGTGTGTGTGGAACAGAGGTCAACCTTGGGTATTGCTTTTCAAGAGTCCTTTACTCTGGTCCCGTTTTAGGTTTAAGACAGTCTCTCTCTGGGACCTGATATTTGATGATTAGCCTTGGCTGGCTGGCCAGTGGGTCAGGAACTCTCCTGTCTCTACCCCCCCTGCACTGGAATTGTAAGCATGCACTCCATACTCAACTTTCCGTATGGGCACTGGGAAATCAAACTCTGGTCTTTGCATTCTTGGCAGGTACTTTACCTACTAAGCTGTCACCTCAGCCCTTGATTCTTGAATGTCTTGAATGAGCCCTGTGATCCTGTGCCTTGGATGTAGCAGGGACATACTGGGGAGATGGGTAGTTCTGGTAAACTGTGTCTTAGTTCAGTAATGCAAATGTGAAGACAGGCTCAGGCAGAAGACAACACGGCCCTTAACTCAGTCTTTATCAAAACTGCTTCCAAGACATCCCAGGAGGTGTGAGCATAAGCCCAGAGAGCCTTCCAGGTGCAGGGTGGGGTGTGTGGACTGCTTATGGACAGGGAACATGGGCCACGAAACAAATAGTATTAGATGAGGGAGGGGTGGGGTGCCGGGAAAGGGCAGTAGAGCGGTCTTCTCAGGAGCGTGTGACGGTCTTCTCAGGAGCGTGTGACGGTGTCTGAGCCGTGGCTTTGAGGGTGGCTGCAGGGGCAACAGAACAGTTGGAGCAGGAAAAGAGCTAGGAGGACATCTCACAGAGAGCTTCACTTCTAGATGTGGTCACAGATACAAGGAGCCAGAAGAGCTGAGCTCTAAGAAGGGACAGATTAAGGACTGAGTCTTCCAAGGCATTTTTTTTTTCCTTGCCTGGATGGATATTTTAAATTTATGACCATTGAGAATAAAATTCTTCAAAGCATTTTTCTGGAGCCCATTTCTAAATATGGTTTGTGTCAGTCTGAACTAAAAACATGGAAATGGTTGGGCTTTGAACTTCACAGACAATGACTTAACTAAAGAATTTCCTGCAGTGTCTCCATATAATCCAGGGAAGATATTTGGGTTTTGCTTTTGGGAATTGGACAGGAGAGAACATTGTGGTGTACTTACAAGTTATTTTCTCTCTTTCAGAAGAAGGTTCTCAACCTGCGTGCGGGTCTTGACCCCTTTGAGGCTCGAATATCAGATATCCTGCATGTCAAATATTTATATTTCTGTTCATAAGAGTAGCAAATTACGGATAGGAAGTAGCAGTGAAATAGTTTTATGGTTAGGGGTCACCACAACATGAGGAACTGTATTAAAGGGTCGCAGCATTAGGAAGGCTGAGAACCACTGGTCTGTGGCCTCATTATCTTAGTATTTATAACAAGCTTATTAAAGTACAATTCACATACCATATATTTCACTCATCATTTATAATTCAGTGGTTTCAAGGTTATTTGGAAGGTCATGCAGCCATTATAATAATTTTAGAATATTTTTGAAGCAAGGCCTGGTAGAGCAAACCTGTATTTCCAGCACCAGGGAGGCTGAGAGAGGAGAATCAACCTCTCATGATTCCACAAAAAAAATCACTCCTTTTCTGCCTGGTCTCATGATTCCACAAAAGTCACTCCTTTCCTGCCTGGCCTGGCCTCACCCTTCCCCTCGTTAAGCACTCATCAGTTGTGTCGTCAAATTACCTAATGCGTGTGTGCGTGCGTGCGTGCATTCGAGTGTTTGTAATAGAGACTAGATTTTTTTTTTTTTAGAGAGGATTTCTCTGTGTGCCGTGGCTGTCCTGGAACTCGCTCTGTAGACCAGGCTGGCCTCGAACTCACGGAGATCCACCTGCCTTTGCCTCCCAAGTGCTGGAATTAATGATGTGCACCATCAACGCCCAGCCTATTTCCTTTCTTCCTTTTGATTTTTTAGAAGGCTGAGTAATTTCCTACTGTTTGGTCGTGCCACATTTGCTTATTCATTTGTCAGTTGATAAGATGGTTGACTTTGCAGTTTCTGGTTGTTAGAAGCGATCCTTTGAACATTTATGTGTTGTTTTGGTGTAAATGTGCTTTTCATTTCTCTTGGTGTCTACACAGTAGAGTGTCTTGGCTGTGTGGCAATTCTATGTGTAACTATTTGAGAAAGTGTCAGCTGGTTTTCCAGAGCGTTGGCACTGTTCTCCTTCCCTTTGAGCACTGTATGAAGATCGCAGTCTATTTCCATGTTTCCCAACATTTGCCGCTGCCTGTCTTTTTCATTATTGCCAGGCTGGTGGGTACGGAGTGGTATCTTGTGGTTTTGATCTGTGTTTTCCTCACAGTGAGTGGTTCCAGGCATCCTTTCATATACTTTATGCACGACTCTGGAGAGTTCATCTGTGTTTGAGCATCATTTTGGGAACTGTAATGAAACAGGAGTGTCTGTTGGACTGCAGAAACAAGGGGGAAGTTTAAGTGTGCATGCATAGGTGTGTGTGTGTGTGTGTGTGTGTGTGTGTGTGTGTGTGTGTAAACAGAGATGCCGTAATCAGATTTGTGAACGGTCTGGGAGCAGGCCTCCCAGAGAAATAGCTGGCATTCTCTAGCCACATTAAGCCTGGGCTAGGGTGTAGAGGTCCCTAATGATTTTGAAATCTGACCATGCCTTTTGAAATGGAAACCTTAATATCTGCTTGCCTTCTCCATATTACTGGGGTGGTGGTGGTGACAGATCCCAGGGCCTTGCATAAACCAGGCAAGTGTTTCCACTGCTTTGCATCTCCAAACTGCACCCCCCTTTTTTTGTTTTTTGTTTTTTTTTGAGATAGGGTTTCTCTGCCTCCCAAGTGCTGGGATTAAAGGCACATGCCATCACCGCCCACCTGGCTGCATCATCCATCTTAAAGTCACAGATACGCATCCAGTGCCAGGTTTTCACAGACCTGTCACTTTTCAGGTAGAGAGAGGTAACTTGACATAGGAGCCAGTTTCTTGGATTTGCAAAACTGTAACATTGAGAAACAATCAGTGACTCACTGATGTCAGATTTCCAGATAGTCTGCCAGCAGACTTGTTGACTGTGGGGACCTGGCTGTCACAACGCAGTACTGTCCCTCTGTGCCAGCTGCTGAGGTGTATGGAAGCAGATGAAATGGCCAGATGACTTCAAGGTGTGAGTAAGAAGAGACCTCCGTACGGGTGAGGTGACCCTGGTTTCCACAGTGAAGGCGTGGCACTTATCTCAGGAACTGCAGATTGGGTGGAGGTAGGGAGCCCCGAGAATGGGAGACCAGGAGGGGCAGCAGCTTTCCAGAGGAGTCACCCACTGCAAAGCTCTGGTGCTCTGAAGGAACTGGGCCCGTGACTAGAGAGCAATGAGTGAGGGCCCAGGCTCTGAGGCTGGAGAGTAGCTGGCTGTGTATGGGTCACGCGCAGGGTCTGATTTCACTACAAGTGTCGGCGGACGGGAGTACACGTGAATCCTATGGAAATTACATCCAGAAAACAGATTTTTAAACAAGTTGGTAGAAAAGAACAAAAAGAAGCTGAGGAGCAAGCTGGTAATTGCTCTGAGACAGCTATTAGCATAGCTTGCACAGGCTGTAAGGTCAGTGGTTATTAAGGAACAATAAGGTTTCAGACAAGCTTGCAGCTGCCTTTCATGCTTTCTTGCTAGACAGGCTTGATTAGATTTTGATAGCAGAATCACTTATGGAAGATACTGTGCATTCTAGTTTATAAGTGTTTCCCACATAAACTTTTTAGGTTTGTCTTATGTATATGAATGTTTTGCCTGTGTGTATGTCTTTGCACAGTCAGCATGCCTGGTGCCTGCAGAGTCCAGAAGAGGGTGTCAGATCCCCTGGAACTGGAGTTACAACATGGAGCAGCCATGTCGGTGCTGGGAACCAAACCCAAGTCCTTTGTAAGAGCAGCCAGTGCTCTCTCTTTAGTCCCTCCCACTTTTTATGAGGCTAGAATTAATCAGTGGGTTTGGATATAGCCAGGCTTGAGTCCTTCATCATAAATTTCCTCTTCAAATTATCATCTTGTCATTTGGACATTGTTTGGTAAGCATTGACTAGATCCACTATTTCATCATAGTTGCAAAATGTTGGTTTTCTTAGTATTTTATACATACTGGCTAGATTTGTTATGTAAAGATTTATTCTATTTATTTATTATGTATACAGTGTTCTGTCTGAATGTTTGCCTGTAGGACAGAGGAGGGCATCAGATCTCATTGTAGATGGTTGTAAGCCACCATGTGGTTGCTGGGAATTGAACTCAGGACCTCTGGAAGAGCAGCCCGTGTTCTTAACCTCTGGGCCATCTCTCTAGCCCCTAGATTCGTTATTTTTAAACTTTAAAAATTTTATTATTGTGCATGTATATGGTGAGTGTGTGCATACAAATACAAATGCCACAGCACATGTGGAGATCTTTGGAAGTTAGTTCTCTTCTTCCACTGTGGGGTTCAGGGTTCAAACTCAGGTCGTCAGGCTTGCACAGCAATACCTTTACTCACTCTTTCTGTTTGTGCGTTTCTCAAGACAAAACTATTTGGAGGAAGAATATGGATAAAGGATTGGATTTTAATTAGTATACATTGTATGCATGTATTGAAGTGTCATACCGATTCAGTAACTATGTCAATAAGAATATGTGGTGCTTTTTCCATTGAAATAGTGAAATTTTGTTATTATAGGAATCTTTATTTAA